CTCACTGCGGGACTCAGGAGCCCAGCAGCTTCCCTCCTCCTCTAATGCATGGTGGCAGGAGGAGACAGAGAACTGAGACTGTGCACACAGGCTTGAGCGAGATATTGCAGACTTTCCTGTCGACAAAGTGTGTAAACTCAACATGCATATTTGTGACATATTTTTTGGTTTCTTTTTTGCTTTTAGCTATTTTCTGGGCAGGTGATGTTGAGGCATGTAGATTTCAGATAAATGAGGTGTTGCTGCAGAGCCCCCGTGAGTTCTCGTGTCCCGCTGCTCTTTCTCTCATTGTGAGGATGATTGTCCTGGGCAGCTTCTCACAGGCGTGGCTTACCAAGGCCGGACACTGTCCACTAGGCTGCCTCCAGAGGGACTGTGCTGGCATGTTTTTTCTTCAAAAGAAATTTTTTTTTCAGTGTTGACCACAGTTTCCTCCGTTCATAGTTGGTCTCTTTTTTTGTTTGTTTGTGTTTTTCGCTTTTTGTTTTTTTTTTCCCCTTCCCAAAGCTCCAGCACATAGTTGTATATTCTAGTTGTAAGTCCTAGTTTTTCTATGTGAGTTACCACCACAGCATCACTTTTGACAGACAAGTGGTGTGGTTCTGCGACCAGGAACTGAACCGGGGCTGCTGAAGCGGTGAGAGCACCCAGCTGTAACCACTAGGCCGTCAGGGCTGGCTCAGCTGATTTGTTTATAACAGCATTATTGAGGTATAATTTACACGCATTGGAATTTGAGGCGTTTTGGCAAATGTACACAAATGCACAGTGAGGGGTGCAGGAGAGAGCTGGGCAGGCTTTCCAATCAGACATTGGATCTCAGCCCTTCTCCAACTTTCTCACTTCCCAAATTTCCGCCTCAAATTTCCAGGTGCTCAGCTGCTCTGAGTGGTCACCTGCCAACCTGGGCAGGAAGGCTGTGATTTTCCACAGCCAGAGCAGCGGGCGGTGAGGAGCACCCTCAGGCCAGAGGGGGCAGAGTGGGAGACCACAGCAGTCAGTAAGCAATAAACCCTCTTCCGTTTCTGCCTTCCTCTGGTGTCTGCAGTGCCTCCAGAGCTCATTTTAATAATCGTGATATATTTTTTTCAGTTTTATAATTCTAATCGGCAGGAAGAATCACCTGATCTACCACTTCATGCCTTTGTTCCCTCCTCAGGTCATTTTATCTCCTTTTTAAAAATGGAGGTATAATTTACGAACAATAAAACGCACCCTCTTCAGTGTAGAGTTCGGAGAGTTTTGGGGACACACACAATTATGGAACTACTAGCTTAACCAAGTGTGGCGCATCCATTGTCCCCAAATTCCCTCACGTCCCTCCATAGTCAACCACCTCCCCCTGCTCCCCTCTCCCCTATGACCTGGCAACCACTCCTCTGTTTGCTGTCCTAAGATTTTGCCTTTTCCAGAATATCATATAGCTGGAATTGGATAGTGTATGCTCTTTTGAATCTGCTTTCTTTCACTTGCCGTGATACATAGGGAATTCATCCATCTTGTATGTACCACCTAGTCATCCTTTTTAATTGCTGAGTAGTATTCCATTTTATGGAATATCACAGCTTGTTTATCCATTCACCAAGTGAAGGACATTTGGGTGTTCCCAGTTTTTGGCAATTTTGATAAAACTGGTATGAACATTCGTGTACAGACTGGGTAAATAGGAGTGGGATTGCTGAATCATGTGATCAAAGCATATTTAACTTTGAGAGAAACTGGCAAACTTTCCCTAAGCAGCTGTACAATTTTGCAATCCCACCAGCCATGAATGAGAGTTTCGGTTGATCTGCAGCCTCACCAGCCGTTCTGTACTTTGACCTCATTTGTGACTTTATTTTGCATTTCCCTGATGACTAATGGTGTTGAGCATCTTTTCATGTGCTATTTGCCATCTACTATACATCTTCTTTGGAGACACGTCTATTCAAATCATTTGCCTCCATTTTTATTTTTGGTTTGTTTGCTTTCTTTTTATTGAGTGTTCTTTATGTTTTCTAGATACAAATGATTTATCAGATACGTGTTTTGCAAATATCTTTTCTCAGTATGTGGTTTCTCTTTTCATTTTCTTAACATTGTATTTTGAAGAGTGGATGTCTTTAATTTTGGTGAAGTCCAATTTCTCGATTTTTCTTTTATAAATTGTGCTTTTCATGTCATATCTAAGAATTGTATGCCAAATCAAAGTCTCACAGATTTTCCTCTATGCTTTGTTCTAGAAACTTGATGGCTTTATGTTTTGCATTTATGTCCAGGACCCATTTTGAGTTAAATTTTGTATGTGGTTCAATGTAGGAATGTGGTTCGTCTTTTGGTTTTTGCATGTGGATGTCTAATTGTTCCTGCCCCATTTGTTGAAAAGACGATCCTTTCTGCATTACATTTCTTTGCACATTTTTCATAACCACCTGACCACATCTGTTTTGGGTTGTTTCTGGACTCAGTATTCTCTTCTATCGATCTGTGTTTCTTTCCTTCCACCAATATCGAACTTTCTTGATTACTGCAGTTTTGAACTCTCATTGTGAGACCTCCAATTTTATTCTTCCTTTTCAACATTATTTCTGGCTATTCTAGTTCTTTTGCCTTTCTAAATAAATATTAGACTCAACTTGTCAATTTCTGCAGAAATCCTAGTGAGATTGATTAGGACTACATTAATCTCCAGATCAATTTGGGGAGAATCTACGTGTTAATATTGAGTATGAGATACCATGAATATAGTCTATCTTTCCACTTATTTAGGTCTATGATTTTTTAATCAATTTTTTTTAGCATTAAGGATACTGATCTTGCACATATTTTGTTAGATTTATGCATAAGTATTTTGTTTAGGAGCTATTATACATGACACAAAATTTTAATTTCCAATTGTTTGTTACTAATACATAGAAAAACAATTGATTTTTGTGTGTTGATCTGTATCTTGAAATCCTGATAAACTCATTAGTTCTAGTGGCTTTTTGTAGATTCTTTGGCATTTTCTACTTAGACAGTCATTGTCTATGAATCAAGACAACAGTATTTCTTCCTTCCCTATCAGGATGCCTTTATTTCACATTCTTACCTTTTTGCGCTGGCTAGGCCCTGCAGTATGATGTTGAATAGGTGTGGTGAGGGCGGACATGCTTCCCTCCTCCTGATCTTAAGGGGAGACATTCAGACTTTCACTATGAAGTGAGGGGTTGGCTGTGTGTGTATATGTATATATGTTTATATTTATATACATATTTTTTTGCAGATGTCATTTATCAGATTGAGAAAATTACCTTGTATTCCTAGTTTACTGAGAGTATTACCGTGAATAGATGCTGAATTTTGTCAAACAGCTTTTCTGCATCTACTGAGAAAATGTGTGGTTTTCTTGTTTAGTCTGTTGAAATGCTGAATTGAGTTGGTCGATTTTCAAATGCTGAACTCAATTTGCCTTCCTGGGATGAACCCCACTTGTTCATGACGTATTGTCTTCCTTTATATATAGTTGGGTTCAATGTGTTAATACTTTGTGAAGGATCCTTGTGTCTGTTTCTGAGAGGGCTATTACTCTGCAGTTTTCATTACTGGTAATGTCTTTGTTTGTTTTTGATATCATGAAATGCAGGCCTCATAAAATGTCCCCCAGTGATGTTTTTCTCATGATCAGACTGGAGTTATGGGGTTTTGGGAAGACTGCCACGGAGGTGAAGTGCTCTTCTTGTAACATTGTATCAGGGGATATCCGCATGACATCCCTAATAATATTAACCTTCATTACTCGGCTAATATATCGTTTCTGAGGATTCTCCACTGTAGACTTACCACTGATCCCTTTCCCTACAAATCGTGAAGGCTAGCCTCCAAAAGGAGGCAGGGTGGAACCTGGCCACCACCTCCAGGAGGGGCAGCGTAATCTATGTACATCTGTTCTTTGGAATTCTCCTATAAGGAATGTTTATTTTTTATCTCCAATTTATTATTTATTCAACCATTTATTCGTATCATTATGGACTCATGTGTAGTCGTTTTCTACTTTGGGTTATAACCCAATATTACATGATTTATTTTCTTTCTAACTGTTCCCATTTTGGCCATTAGAATTCTTGCAGCTTGGCTCCTGTATTCCTTTGACACGTCCGTTGACATGTTTTGTTATTTTAAGAACTTCCTTTGTTTCTGTTCCTTCAAGTTGCTCCAGGCTCATCTTGTATTTCCCTGCCCTTGCCATAGATTCAGCCATTTCTCGAGGCAGCCTTGGTTGTCCGCTCTCACGCCCACCTACACTCACTGAAACCTTTGGCTGAAATCGTCTCATCCCCTTGTTTGGCTGTCTCTTCCTCCCATGCTCCGTCCCAGGAAGCCAGTGCTCAGGTCTTGTGTCTCTTTGGAGGAGTCTGTCTGTCCTTAGATTCCAAGCTAGTTGGTTGCCCTGTGATCTCAACTCGCTGATGAGTTCAAGGAGATTATAATTTTGTGGATTACATGGCTTTTTCTTGTTGTTAGGAAGGAAGTGATTCTCTTTCCAGTTTTTTACATTCCAAGGTGACGCTGGGTCATTTTTGATATGGGAAGTGTTTGGGAGGACAAGATAGTGGTGGAAAACTTGGAATGACCCATGGGAATCAGTATGAACTGGGTCCATGGGTCCCAGTCTCCAGCTTGGCCCCTGACCTGCCATGAGTTAAGAGTCCAGCAGATGGCACTGGACCCTGAAGCCAGACCAATAGAGTATATCTGGTCCACAGTGATCCATGGGCTTCTTTTATCTTGATCTGGACTCCCAGGCCAGGCCAGAGTAAGGCTGTCCCTTGCTGGAGCATGGAGAAGTGGATGGCCTTCCAGCATGGGCTGTTGTGTTTTGGCAAATCATTGTTGAATGCATTAATATCTCCAGTGGACTAACCTTTGTTGCAGACCTCAGTTTTCAGAGTCCAGTTGTAGCTGAGCGTTCCAATCCTGAGGACTCTTGTGTATATTCAGAGAAAAGAGTATCAGCTACTAACACTGATGTTCTATTTCAGGAAGACAATTCACGAATGTCTTTTAAGAAAAGGTTTCCCTTAAGACACAACACAAAGAAAAAAGGTATGTCAAGTAGATGTTGAAGAAATAGAAATGTATATATTCTGTAATAATTCAGCCATGGGTGAGGATATTTGTCAGATCCTGTTATAAACAGCTAGTCAAATTTGTCTCCTGAGATATAGTTAAAATGCCCACAGAACACTCAATAGGGAAAGGTCTTACTTCTTTCCCACAATCCCCTTTCTTCCCCCCATAAAAACCCTGTAATAATAACATCACCAAATTATAAATTCCTTTCCTAAATTTTTTCATAACTGTTTATTTATCATCATAATTCTTTAGATTTGTAGTTTTAAAAGCAGTTTACAAAAGGTTTTCATATATATGCTTTTCTGGTGTAACATCTTAGCCATGAAGAGTAGGAAAATGATATATTACAGTATTGACATCCAGTAAATGACGTAATGTGCTGCACATTGTAAAAATCCTATGGCTGTGTTAACTGTCTTTTCATTACATGAGTTGGATGTTTTACAAATGAGGAAACTGAGACATAGAGAGGGTGGGTATCTTTCCAAGGTCACAGGGTTATTTCCTACGTTCCAGAACATTCGTGCTGCAGCCAGAACTCATGTGCAGGCTGTGTCTTCTGAGTCTGGAGGTCTCGTATCCGTGGGTAGGGATGGAAAACCCTACAGTTCATCCCATAGCCTGGAACTGTGGCTCAGATCTCTATCAATAACTTGTATGCTCTTTAGGTGTAATTTAGTTCCCCAAACAAAGCACTTTTTCTTTAAAGTGTGGGAATTACAATCCTGTGAGATAATAGTGTCCTGTGAGATAAACCAGAAGTAGGGATGACCTAAGACTGTTTGAGTGGCCTCCTCTCTCCTCCATCTCTGCCTTCCTTCCATGGACCCTGTGTGCAAGGACCTGAGCATCGCTCCGCTTGAAGAAAGATTGAGGAGGAGTGTTTACCACAGGAGAGGCTAAGGGAGCTCTGCCGGTTTGTAAGGAGGTGGATGAGCCTGGGCTCCCTAGTCCTGTGGGCAGGCTACTGCCTGTCACATCTTGCTAGCTGACTTCTCCTGGCATTTATCCTTGGTTTATTTATTTATTTATTTTTGTGAGGAAGATTGTCACTGAGCTAACATCTATGCCAGTCTTCCTCTGTTTTGTATGTGGGACACTGCCACAGCATGGCTTGATGAGTGGTGCATAGGTCTGCGCCTGGGATCTGAAACAGTGAACCCTGGGCTGCTGAAGCGGAGCTCGAACTTAACCACTACGCCATAAAATTCAATTCAGCTAACCCCAAGGGGAGCCTGGAAGGGAAAAGAGATCTTAAAGGGTGGCTCGAAGGTTATATGTGGAAGTGGAGAGCAGTGGGGTCTTCTTGGGCACCAGAGGCAGAGCCACCACAGAGCCAGAGGAGGGACGGCATCAGGGGACCAGTGAGGCTGGGCCCGAGGAGGGTCGTGATGGTGGCGAGAGCTCTTCGTGCGAGAGTTCTTTCCTACTGTTTCTCATCTCGGATGGGGAGAAAACACAGATTGGGAACACAGGCTGACTTGGACCCCCTACAGTATGATGTTTCGGCTTTCAATTTTAAAATTTCATTGCAATTGTTGTCCCCACTATCAAAATCTTTCAACAACAACTTCCGTTGAATGTTGGGGAATGTCTACCTTTTGATTTTCAACTCTTGGTAACTTAAGAGAAAAATCATCATTCAGTGTGATAAATGCCAACAAGATGAACACAGAAGCTTTTGTTGTTTTCAAGAAAAGAGGTTTGTAAAGTGGATCCCAGATATTAAAATGCAAAGGTGGTGATTGCACCACACTGGAGCAGACGTACACTTGGGCCCCAGATCGCCACCCAGTGACCAGCAAGGACCCCACGAGGCTTCACAAGTAAGTCTCTGATACAAGTGTCCATTCCATTGTGGAATGTACTTCTCTTTTCTTTCCTTATTTGGTTTTTAACTGAAGGATGCTCTTCAGGTGACAATTCACCCCAGAGAGAAATCTCGAAGGAGAGAATGTAACCCAACTCCCCCTCCTGCTCCTGCTCTGCCCTTTCCCTGTAGTCAAGGTCTTGAGTACTTGGAAAAAAAATCCCATTAGATGCTACAGGCTTTTATTGAGCCTTAAGTATGTAAAATGAATATTGAACCATCTGCTGTAACAATAATTTAAAAATATGCACAGATTCCACAATACCTTCATAAACATTTCCTTCCGATTTTTATTTTCATTCTAACAACCTTGCCAGGTGATGATCCTCATTTAACAGAGGAGAAAACAGAATGATTACCTGTCTTGTCCTTGGTGACAAAGGTGACAGAAGAAACTGCAGAAATTCAAGCAAATCCACTTCTCTTCCGTTTCTACCCCACGGCCAGGAGTGTGCGGGGTTGACTTAGCCGTGGGACTGGCCCTGAAATTGTGGGCCTGCGGTGGGTTTATCCATAATATCAGCACTATGTTGCCCGATGAGGTGGCTTTGAATGATTTTATGGCCCCTGTGGTTTGTTTCCAAGAGGCCAGCCTACCTTTGGGCTCCACCCCATAGCTATGTGGTTGCATTACAGCCTTCAAGGTCCCCAAGCAGTTTTTCACACCAGTACATTGCACAGAGCCACCAGAAATTGTGGCCCAACACAAAGATTTATTTGGGAGAAGGGAATGAGCCCGTTTCACACCTCACTTAAAAAATGTTACCTTTCCTACCAAATGCTTGTGGCTGTCAGTGGCCATCCATCCTATCAACTTCTACAGATGCAGGTGCTTCAAAAGCCTGGAACCCTTCCTAGTTCAATACTTGTTTCCAAAACATTGCATTGCCTTGTATTTTGTGAGAGCTTGCAAGTTTCATTTTTCTGGAAGAATAAGGCAATTTTAAGTCCCTGAAGTTTAATTCAAGGCAGTAATAAGTGGAATTTTTTTCCCTCACTGGGAATAATTTTTGGCTGTGTTCTATTGCCGCTATTTTTCTTTGTTTCTGAGAATTGGGAAGTGGAGGGAGAAAGAAAGAATTCTAAGAGAAGGAACGAAAGAATCAGAAAAAAAGAAGGCTCATTTGTTTTTGCTGTGATTCTCAGCCTGCTCCGGCTTGCTTCAGAGCTGTGGCAGCGCCGGGGCGCTGGGGCGCCGCGGGCCTAGCTCAGACTTCTCCGGGCTGCGTTGGCGCTGACTTGCCTCCTCAGCTCTCTGTCCTTCCTTGCCCTGAGCATGAGACTCTTGAGGCACAGCGTCATCAGGCCAGAGTCTCCTGGTTGAAGGCTTCATTAGGTGTCTTTTTTTGTGTGTGCTATGATTTTAGTCAATCTGGCAACTTAGGAATTGTTAAAGAATGAATTTTTAACATCTTTCTTTATGATCATAAATTAGCTTGGCTCTGTGATGACCTGTTATTGATTGTCATTCAGAGAGCTACTGACGGTTGGCGCCGATTTGGGTCCAGCAGGCATGACAGGGCCCTCATGAAGAGCAGAGAAGGCATATCCAGGGACTGACTTGCCTTTTTGATCAGCACGTTTCAGTTCAAAAGCACATCGTGGCTTTGCTGTGTTCTGCTCAGCGCTGTCTGTTTTGACAGTGATAACAGCCTGCTCCAACAAAATTAGTCATTATGCCTTATTTTGCCATTCTCGTTTTCTAGCTTTGAGTGAAGCTGGGAGACTTACTGGCCTGAGTCAGGCTTCTGCTCATTTTCCTGCTGTTTTTATGATCTTCCTCAGAGTGACCCTCAGCAGAAGGGTGGCTCTGGGTCACAACACCCTTCCATCTCTCCTCACCCCTAGGAAACCCTTCCCCTTCTTTTTTCTCCTCCTGTCGGGTGGCCAGTAGATGAAGCCTCTGCTCTTGGGCGCTCTTACCAGTTATTTACACAATAGTGTGAGGTTGAGTTGGTGTCTCAGCTCCTTGCAGATGGAAGTCACCTTTTCTTTGAAGAAGCTGACTCTCAGGAAGTAGGTGTGGGAGAGAAGTAAGTGAGCTCTCACCGACGGTGATACCATGCAGGCTGGTGAGGGCGACCTGGTCCGTGGGTCAGGAGGTTAACCGTGCAGAACATTATGCCACTGGGTAGGTATCTTATTTTGCCCAAGGATAAGGAAAACTTGAAGGAAAACCTAAGGGTTCCTGTCGGCTGGGTGGTTCGGGCCCTGATCTTGTGCTGCGAATGCCTGTATATCCATCAGCACTTCTAGATGCTTCCATGCTGTTTCCCACATACTTGCTAGGCAATAACTTATCCAGTTGGTGTTTCTTTCTGTTCTGTAAATGATGATGCTGTTATTTGAGAGGTTTATTTTTTGGAAATCTGTTGAGTGATATGCTGTGATCTTTTACTTAGGTATAAAATGATGCTTAGGACTGCCCCATGGTACCCAGGACAGCAAGCACTAAGCCTGTATCCCAGAGTCCTGGCAGTGGCCCTGGACCTGCTGTCGTGGGGCTGTGTCAACTCAGACCAGTCGCAGGGGCCTGGGTGCTCCTTGGTAAGAGGAGGCGGTGGACTCAGACGCTCCCTTTCGGTTCCGAGTCAGGCGGACTTTGTGAAGCCTGCATGTGGCGCCGCTCTTCCCGTTGTCTTTTCTAGGCTGGTGAGGGTGTGCGGAGAGCTGCCCACCCCTCCATGCTGTTGCCCACGCCGAGGCTGGGCGCACAGTCTGGGAGGGGGACGCTGGGACAGCAGCCATGGGGACAGCAGCCATGAGGGATGAGAGCTCAGTGGTCACTTTGGCTGTGTGGTGGGTTCGGCTTTAATTCACTGGGGGTTGTTTGAGTTTTGAATCCAGAGTTTTTGCCTTTAGACAGAACAAGATCCAAATAATTCTAGAGAAGAGTGTTCACTGTACTTTTTCTCCTTGGACCTTGCCTTACTACTAAACATAAATTGTTCTGAGAATCTAAGATCTCTCTCTCTCTCTCTCTCTCTCTCTCTCGTGCTGGCAGAAGTAACTCATTTCCTGTATAGTATTTGATTGGCATGAAGCCCCTTTCCAGTCTCCTAGGGTAGATAATCTTAGCCTGATTAAATGATTTTTCGAG